ATTTGTTTTATGATACAAATTTAAAACAAACAACAAACGTAATTAAAGAAGAATTTATTGAATTCCTAGATTTCAATAGAACTCATTAGCTTTTTACTCTACATACATGATTTTATATACTGTTGTTCAATAAAGGAATATATACAGACATAATGTAAACTAAGACCACTGGGACCAGTTTTTGCTAACTTATTTCTTTCAAGTGTTGAGGCTAATAACCTTAAGAAATTGATAGAACAGACGGAAATGTACCAGCTGTACATGGATGATATTTTTATTGTATGTAAAAGTAAAGTAAGTGGAAGCAGAAATCCTGTTGAAGAACTTTAACTCTTATCACGTAAACGTCAACTTCCTAGATGTTTCCTTAGAAAAAAAAAGAATGATAGGTCTATATAAAGATTCATCTATAAAAAGCTTTCATGGTTTGGACAATATCTTCACTTCAAGAGTTTCATCCCAATTCAATATAAAAGGAACTTAATCAAAACCCTATTTGATAGATTAAAGAAAATTTACTTTGACAGTACCATTGATTATGAAATGAAAACATTGAACTATATCCTAGCTAAAAATGGCTACCCTGAAGGCTTTGTCAATAAGTATTCAAAAAGTAGATGATGCGTAACAGCAGTTCTCATGGCTAGAAAAAAAAGTTAGTATTTATTAAACTACCTTTCAAAGGAGACGATGTCTTAGAAGTAGTTAAGCGGAGACTAAACAAAGCCATCAAAAGAACTTATTATACAGCTAAGCTAGTATTTCTAAGCACCACTATGCAGGTGTTGCAGCAATGAGAAAAAGCCATAACTTCTATCCTCAAGACATCTAACTGTATATACCATTTTGAATGTATTTGTGGAAGCAAATACATAAATCGTATGGTAAGGCATCTGTCTACTCGCGTAATTAAGCATTTACTTAAATGGTTGAGGCAAGCCAAGTCAAAAATCCCACGGAGTTTAATTATGAAACACCTAATGGATTATCGACATGATATTGATACCATTAAGGCCTTCTCGATTGTCAGCAGACAGAGAAATCAGAAAATGCTTTGAATTGTTGAAGCATGTGCGATTAAAGTTTCGTTGTACTATCATTTCCTCTTGAATTTCTATGCTTACTAGCCAAGTGACTTATCTTCATTGTCATTATCATTGTTATCGTCCAGCTATTACTCTAGACTCCTTTAGTTTTACACTGTTACCAAGCTTCTTAATTGACGTTCATTTAACTTCTTTCAAAATGACATGATTTTTAATCTTTTCAATATTCATACTTTCATTGTTATCGTTATTTTATCACTCACTTGTATTATCACCATTAATAATCATTTTTCTTTACCTAACACTTATGTTCCTTTAATATGCACCTTAATCAAGCTATCTAGTTGACTACTAATGAATAATACCTCTAAATTAAAAATCCTCATTCATCTTAAAAATACACTACTAATTGTTCTGTTCCAACGCTCGATATTGAAGATGGCCAGAAAGAATAAGCAACAAGGAACTCTGGCTGGCTGGCTGGCTGGCAACGAACCAACCAACAACCTATCACCCAACAAATATACAGAAGAAGAGAGTGGAGATGGATTGAGCATCCACTGAGAAGGCCGATTGGGGATATTACACGTCAGGCGAGGCCGTTGATTGGAATCCAGAGAGGAAACGATGAGTTGGGTGTTGGAGGCGAGGGTGACATGGAGGAGATCATCATGTGAGGAAGAAATGAGAGCTTCTGGGCAGTCACGGTGCCAGCTGCAAAATACTGCAGAGAAGAGATTGCAATGGAGGTGTGCTACTGAAGCCTTATATTCCACTAGGAACCGAAGGGAAAAATAATTAATTATAATAATTGTTTTTTTTGGAAATGATGTAAACCATCCCTAGTTCTTTTTATTTTTCATTATCAATTCGCTACCAACCGTCCCAACCTAATCTTATCTCTGTCTGACATAAGTAAATGATTCCCTGCGTGTTGCTATGCCTCAGTCATTGTCTTAGTTTGTATTATATATGTGTGTGTATTCTCTTATTGCACAAAAGTACACAAAATCATGTATGTAGGGTAAAAAGTTGATGAGTCCTACTGAGATCTATGAATTCAAAAGAATCCTGCTTCAGTAACGTTTGCTGCTTGTTTTAAATAATAATAATAATAATAATAATAATAATAATAATGTTTACACAGGGGTGAGAACTGAATCTATTGAAGGTAGATTACTTCATCAAAAACAAGATTATTATAATATTATTATTTGTCCCTTGGGTTCCTAGTGGAACATAGGGCTTTAGTAACGTGTCGCCATTGCATCCTATTCTCTGCAATCTTTTGAACCTGGCTCCATGACAGCCCAGAAGCTCTCATTTCCTCCTCACACGATCTCTTCCATGTCACCCTCGGATGCCCAACTCGTTGTTTCCCATCTGGGTTCTACTTAAGGACATAAGGAAACCTGGTCTGTATTGAGATGAGGAATAATGATAACAATGGTGATAGGACGGGAAACAAGAATATAAGATGGGTGATAATTAAGAGTAAAGAGCAAGTAAGGACAATTGAATATGATTAAATGATGTTGTAATTCGTACCATGACAGATTCATCGAGACTACCATTTCCTTCTAAATGCAGAGGTTTGCTTTGAAAACTGAAATCATGCAGGATTCTGTAGTTGCAAGGAGTTTCTTATTTTGTTGTCTACTGATAACCGTAAAAGACTTACCGTTATCAATATCATACCAATAATCCACTAAGTGTTTCGTTATCAAGCTCCTTGGGGTCTTCTCATCATGCTTCAGTCATTTGGATTGGTGCTCAATTATTCGGGTAGACAGACGCCTCTCAGTACGAACAATGTACTTGCTTCCGCAGGTACATTTGATATTTTGAAAATTGAAGCCCTTGTCTTTCCTTGATTGTTTCAGTACCCTTTTAGTTGTGCTGAAGAGAACGAGTTTAGCAGCGTAATAAGTTCTTCTGTTAGACTTCTCCAGTCTTCGTCTAACTACTTCTAACACGTCGTCGTCACCTTTGAATGGCAAGGTGATATAGACTTGTCTTTTATGTACTGTTGGGGAAATTGTTCTGCTTTCTACTCATTTTGTGTGCTTGTTGATAAAGCTTTCTGGGCACCCATTCTTCACAAGCACGTTTTCTAAAGTCAGCATTTCGTAGTCAAGTGTTCTGTCGGAACAAATACTTCTGGCTCTATTGAACAGCTTTCTAACTACCTTCACTTCTTATTGGATCAATACAAAGCTCTTAAAATGTAGGCACTGTCTTGTCCATGAAAATTTTCTATAAATGGACCTTTCGATAGATCCACTCATTCTTCTCCCTAAGAAACTAATCATATTATTTTTCCACGGTTTCAGTCATAAAGGTCCGGTTTGCATGAATTGAATAGAAACTCTGTAGTAGTGCTTCCAGTTTGGCTTTACTTATGATGAATATGTCGTCCATGTAACTATGGTACAGTTCCCTACTGATCTACAAAGCACTTCAAGCTACTAGTTTCTAGACTTGATAGAAACAAATCAAAGAAAAAGGAGGGGAGGGGACATTTGGACTCCATCAGTTTGGTGGAATAATTGTCCGTTGAACTGGAACTGGACTTTTATCCAAACTCATGTAACCTGCCCCCAACTCATTCAATTTTCAACACCCATTTCTACACTTTGTATTACCGTTTGACTTTTAAAAATTGTTACACCTGAATCGGTGTCTCATTGTACATGTATATGAATGTACGTTCTTTCATTGTGGAACGGTATGTATAATCAAGTATGTGGAGTATCCAGCTGAAGAGTACTATTGAAATTTATGAATTGATTCAATTCTGCTTCTTTCATATATTCGTTACTTGTTTTAAGTATTCATTATATATATTATGGTTTCCTTGGCGGTTCACAATTTTATCGAGTCTGTGAACCATGTAAACTGATTACAAATGACCAATCTAATCATTTCAGAAACAAGTTATAATATACTCATAGAGTGTTGTTTTGTTGGAGGCGATTAGCAGAAAGCCCTAGGTCTAAGTTTCGTACTTGTTGGCAGTCGTAAACGGGACATATCTGCAAGCTTGAGGGTGCTGATGTCCCTTATGGGACTCGAACCCGTGTCATGCAATACTGCAGTCAGAAATGTTACCAGTGAGCTATTTGGGCTACAGTTTACCTCATATAAGGTTGAATTAAACACATTGATTGGTCTCGGCATGCCTAAGAACCAAATGCAAATATTATGCTGAAGAAACTGTGACTCACTTGGTAAAACGTTCGAAAGATCCTTCTTACGATCTTAACCCGCTGGGATTTATTGTTACATAAGTTTATATTGATCTGTGTGAGATGCTTTATTGGATATAGGATAAGATGAACTGGAACATACACACAAGAATGGATTGGCTTTTCCTAACATACTTCCAATAAATCATGCACACATAAACGTATATTATGGCATATACAGCCTTTCATTTGACTATCTGAGATAGCTGTAGTTTGGCAGACTAGTATTTATATTGCGTGGTAATTAAAAGTGAAATGAAAATTTGGACCAAGGCCGTATTCGAACCAGCTACCACCGGGTTTCCGGCCGGTTGTTCTACCAATTGAACTACGAGGTCAAACTGCTGACCAGATTTTTATTTCACTTCAATCACAAGGTAGGGTTTTACCCGACTACCATGTGAATTCATGACACGTTACTACTGTTTGATCGTATTCACACTGGCTGCAGTCTAGTCAGGACTTCTCATCCCAGAGGTCAGACCTCGTAGCTCAGTTTGTAAAGCATCCATCCAGCTTAGTCATAGTTCCCTCAGATAACTTGAGAAGCCTTTTGAATAGATATAGCGTGATGCTCTCGCTATTTATTGACTGTCAAATTGTCTTAACACATTCATTGTTAATTCTTTCTACTTTTACCTACTTGGCAATGAATTATCGTCTCATTGTTCTTTCTTTTAAAATCGAAATCATATTCTACACTCAGAAGTCTATAGACTCACCGAATCCTACACGAGATCCGCATATGATACAAGAAATAATTAATAGTGTTGAAGATGTCTATTATTCAATGACATTCGACTGTGGGAAGTATGAAATTGAAGTAAGTTCTACTCATTGATTCAATTCACTAACATCCTTTTTTTAATTATTCTATTGAGTTCTATCCAACCATAATGCATGCATCATTCACATTTTCCTACTTCCATCAGTATGAACCATTGGATTCTAATTCAGTGGTTGAACTGAAACTTGCTTACGTTGGAATCGATTCCTGACGGAGGTAATGCGTGCACACTACTGGTTAGGAATTGCAACTATCCATAATTGAAACACAGGTAATATCTAGGTATCCGCATAGGAGCTCATATGCCAATAGAGATTGATCCATTCGGTTCAATTAACGACGGTATAGTACAAGCAATTATACTAAAACTATTCCCGTTGCACAAGAAGTGGCTATCGTAGCTCGGTGAGGGTAGTGGATAACACTGTAGCGTTTGTAGCAGTCGGTCTCGAGTTCGAATCCTAGTGGGAAAAATATCGCTCACTAGGAGGTAGGTGCATCCAGCTGACGAGTCCCACATAGGAAGACATTGCTATCCTGGATTCCACTGCTAGCCACTTCACTGCCTTTTTACTTGACGTGGTGATATGAGGTGTGGCAACTCGGGTAGTTATGCAGTTATTGCCTAGTCTTATGTTGATTTAAATGAATGATATGCTTTAATGCAGTTTATTACTTCAAGGGGAATTGTTGATTCATTTTGCATAAATTTTACGTTGAAATTTCCTTCCCGACATCAGTGATTTATAAAAAATGTGATGTATTTAGTTCCACCTACTGACTGTTCACTTCATACTGATTTTTATGGGATAACCTTAAATGGAGGTCTGTGATTGAAATCTATCGACTGTTTCAGCCAACTGGATTAGAAGACGTACCCTGTGGGATCACCCAGGTTGGGTATGAGATCAAATACTTCCTGGATGATGTTGTGCTCCTTTGCAAATTGATTGCTGTAGAAGGATATGAATCATTAGATTCCGATCCAGTTGCTCAAAGTTTAACTACGAAACCTGAAGGTTCTGGGTTCGACCCCGAATGGAGTTGTGAATACATACTGTTAAGGTATCCCATACTAAGATTCTAGTCCATAGTTAAATGTTTTTATGTATCCAGCATCGATAAAGTCCATTTTTGCTTCGGAAATGTTCCTGTGTTGTGGTATATGTGTTGACTAAACTATTTGTCAGTCCAACGTTTAATCGTACAAACTTTCTCATAGATTCTTTCCTGTTTTCTTTTCTTTTTTTATTCAACAGAATGTTGCAGGTCCTAATTGTCGTGAATTGTCCAAGCTGAAATTACGCCTATTAGCATTGGATCGTCAAAATAAAGCTGTATCTAGACGTGTATCTGAGTTAGTTCTTGAGAAACATCCACGTTATGAAGCTGAATTAAAAGGTGTCTTATCTTTACAATCTGATAATTGGGAAACATTATGTATGTGTCGTGAAATTAGAAAGTAAGCAAAAAAATATACTCCTATCAATTTTTTTTCGCAGTCTATTCTATTTGATAGGTAGTTCTAAATTGAAGTTGGTTGCCTAGTGCCTTTTTGAATGTGTTAGGGTTAGGTTCAGACTCATAATTCAGGTTCCTCTTTGACATTTGATTTTCATCAACACCTCACTTGATGTTTATGTAGTAGGGTACTCAGACACATTTGTACGATAGCTTATGATACTATACAGTCAGTCAGGCTAAAGTGATGGGAGCGGGTTGTAGACCTGGGACTCATTGGCTTGAAAGTCAAGTTTCTCATTCAATGAATCAAATCTCTACTGGTAAGTAGCAAAGTGATTTAGCACACTGACTATTTTATTTATGCGTAATGTTTATATCTATCATCATGATTTGGTTAGTGACTAATGAAACCTTTTCACAGATATGAAAATCTTGATGGAATTTTATCAGTTTACAACCGTATTTAGCGACAATATAACATCTGAATCCTGGTTATAAGTTAAGTGTACTGCGAAGGATTTCGTCATGTTCTACTTTATTGTTGTTACCTATGGCTATTAAGGTTAGAAGGTTCAAGTAGGTCTCATATACTCAACTTTCACAGATTTTGTGTTGTCGCTAGCCTTTGTTACAACCATCAAGTGAGTAGTGTGGAGATATAGTAAAAGAGGATGGTATATTCAACTGATGAACCTGTGAATATTTTTTATCAGAAATAATTGAACCACTTGATACACAATTCATAGTGTTAACTAGCTTCTGATTAAGTTTCAAAAGAGGTAACAACGACCTGATCATTACTAGGCTTTGTTAAATGTGCCATGTTTATCTCGTGCCTATATGGTGTTGTGTCATTGTGTGATTGTGAAATGGGTACCGGGCAAGTGTATGATGCTAATTGAAGCTGCTTACTCAAATTCACACAGGCGTACAAATGGTGTATTGGGAGTTTTCATCTGAAGTAACGGCAACTACTGGTTTCCACTATCATTCCTGTTCAACTTTGTCGTAGGTGTATTAATGGGCATGACCTCTATTACCTTCTTCTTCCTATTCTCTTTCTCATTCTTCTTCTTCTCTTTCCCAGGAATTGACTTACTCCCAGGTAACAGACTGATTCACTTATGGTACGCTGACGAAATACTCAGCCTTCTGAATGCCTTCAACTTCCGAATTCAAGAGGATATTTTAAGTACTGGTCTAAACTGGTAGAATGTAGTGATCACTTCACCTACCTAGAAAATTACTTGATTGTTTACGAAATCTTAGCCTGGATTTTTCAAAATCCTGTTTTATATTTGTTATCCCTGTCACTAGCAAGATATCCGATTATGTATTGAAGGATGAGTATACTACGCTGTAGTCCTCTCTTTCGTTTTTATCCAGTTTTGATTCATTACTGTTGAAAGCAAAAGATATGAAGAGATTAAATGTCTATCATCATCGTCATCATCATCAACATAGGACCAGGCATTGCTGCGTAACGGTTCAAGTTGCCACACCTCATATCACCACATGAAGTAAAAAGGTAGTGAGGCGCAAGATGAAGATAAGAAAATTCAGTCAAAACAAATACAAAGCATTAGAAGAGAAAAAGGAAGAATGAGAAAATGGTGAGATTCTTTATAGCGTCGTTAAGATGAGGATACATCTGGGCCAATGACATCAGTTCGCAGCCATGTGATCACCTAAAGTCTCCAACCATTATATGTCTATGATTGCAGGTGGTTTCGTTGTGTTTCTTCCGGGTGGTGGGAATGCCTATGTGAGCACTGGTTAGGTTAGGCACTACAATTTAGTATAAAAAGTCTGTATCAGACTACTGAATTCAATTATACCTGAATACTTACTTTTCTATCTTTGAAATAGGTGATTTATTTGGACATACTTATCAACAAACTAACATCGAACAGACAATTAAAACTGTTTGATATTAAAATTTTGGGGTTTGTCGGGATTTAGTGATTTTTTTCAATTTGACATTCATCATGGACCAATATCAGTTGGAGGTATATTGGGAACCTGGGAGCACTGGTTAGCTGTTTCACCCTAGCACGAAAATCCTCAGCAGTACGCACCCGCGATCCCGCACCGCCATAGATCGAACCCCAGGATCTTCAGGTTCCGGGAACAGTACGTTACCACTGAGCTTAATGATGATGTGCTGGTCCCGGAACCTGGAGGTCATACTTATGCACTACTGAAGAGTCGTCTACTATGAAGAAATAGCTGAGTTGTGCTCCAATGTTTCTAATGCTTCTCCAACTGATGTCAGTCCATGATGAATACCAACTTGTTTGACATTAGTTTGTCAATTCATCAGAGGTGTACGTTTCGGAGTTGTAATCTTTGGCACTCTGATTAAAATTTATTCTCTTCATGCTTGTTAGGGCTCATCAGGAATCTATATCTGGAATCATAGGGGAAACTTGAGTTTACTCACTGATTTGAACCTAATTCACTCATAACAGATTTCAATGGCTTTCTCCCTCTGTTATTCATACTGTGATTGACTCCCTGTAGGAAATTGTTTTGTACACGGGTTGGTTGACAGTTTGCTAACCAACATCGTTATCAAGTCCTCAAAACTCAGTTTTGACTACGATTTATGGACCATATCGGTAGATTATGTCTGATCTGTGTGCATTTAAATGTATCCTATATAAAGGGCTATCTCAGATAGTTTGAAAATCGGGAGAAATCAGTTGCTAACTCTCTTTCTCGACTATAGTCTAATTTGTGTTTGAAGAAGATACTCTGAATAGCGTGATCCACTATTACTTTGTTATATCTCTACAGGTCAGTGGATAAATTGCCAAGTCAGTTACTCATAAGTCTTTACTTTGACTTCCATAATGACCTGACAGACAGATACCAACAACGAAGACGTCGAACTATCACCAATCTGTCACATTTTGAAAACAAACATAGATCAATGGGAGAAAGACAGTTGACATAAAGATTAAGATTCTCTGACAACTAATTTCGGTTGTCTTGCGGACTCAAATGAAGAAGTCTCCATCGCTATAATACACAAATCAGGTCAATAGTCAGATACTTCACGGATTGATGCGAAATCTTGATTTGGTCAACCTTATTTCTCTTTCAGTCTAATAGTACTCTACTAAACATAGCTCAATAAACTTGAGAGTGGTTACATATGCGTAGCACATATCCAAGCCAGGTCATTCAGTGAATGTTCACAACTTTATTGATTCACATGTAGCTCTTATGAAGAGATACACATCTGATAGACATACAAACAAAAAAATCAACTTAAGACCTTGCACGCAAACGCATCGGTTCAAGTTGATACACTTCACAATAGTATACAAAAAGAAGATGACTAGAAAAGGAGTGATATAAAAGTAAACCAAGTTGTGTAGGACAATAAACAATTTGAAGATAAAGGTTAGTGCGAATATTCAAACTAAAAAAGATGTCAAGGAGTACCATGTCACCAAATGTCCTCAAACACTGATTCCTGTCGTCTGGAGGACCCTAATTAAACAGTCCACGTCTCCCCACACAATTCAGATAAACAGTCAGGGACGACATCTTGTTATAGCCATCCTGAACCCAATTCCAAATTAATTCAACTTTTTGTAGCATGGCACTTCCAGGTAGGTGGTGGCTCGGTATAATACAACATATTTCTAAGCCACTACCACCAGATCTAACTTCATTGCTCGTATGTTGATTTCATGATACGCCAGAGATGTTATAAGTTCATTGGTGCTGGGATATCTGTAAAATTCTTAAGTTCTCTACCTTTGATATCTACACGTCACCCTTATATTGCAGAACAAAAGGAGTTATCTTTGAATACTTCTTACGCCGAATTAGGCATTCAGATATTTCACTGACTCTGAAAGTTGTCGATTATTTATTATCATTTGTCTTTTGAGTTCCTAGTGGAACACAGGGCCACAGTAGCATGACGCCATTTCACTCTCTTCTCTGAAGTCTTTTTAACCTCACTTCATGACTAGCCATAAGCTTTCACCTCTTCCTTACATGATCTCCTCCATGTCACCCTTGCCTCCGACGCCCAACTCATCCTTTCCCATTTGAGTTGCACTCGACAACCTGACCTAACGCGTGATGTCCCCAAACGGTCTTCTCAGTCTGTGCCCAATCCGTCTTCACCTTTTTCTGCATATTTGTTTGGCGACAGGTCGTTGGTTGGTTGGTTCGTTGTGTGGCCAGCCAGAGTTCCTTGTTGCGCATTGTTACTATCCTAGCCATCTGATCTGGTCTTCAATATGGAGTGGGCGTAGGCGACAGTTTGTTGGAAATGCTTTTCGTAAGGCGGGAAGTCTGTGAACCATCACATGGAAGCAGTGACTTAGTTGACTGAGTTAGTGTTCCAAATCTGGATATTGTTCACGCTTTATACTGAGTGGAGTGCAGTGGAGTGGAGTGGAGTGGAGTGGAGTAGATCTCTACACTGATTATTTCAGATTGATGAAGACATGTTTTGCTGTCTATCCAATCCTGGCTTTCACATCCTGATCTATATCGCCGCCTGTATTTGAAACGATGCTGTCTGTGTAGGTAGATAGGTTGGTGAAAGAGACTACTTCGGTTAGATTTTCCCTGTTGATGCTAGTTTGAGCTTGTTGTTGTTGGTTGGGTATCATCACTCCTGTCTTCTCTACGTTCACCTAAAGGAAGTCCTGTCTTCATGGTCCTGCCCTGCCCTACCTGTTCTGCCAACTTTTTAGATTTTGCCTATAGATCTTCAAATTGTGCGATAGGACATTAAACGTAAACCATGATCGTTGACGAAATCCAAATATTCTTCTGAGATCTTTTCTTTGGTCCAGCTAGTGTATGCCTTTCTTCTCGCTGCTCGCAGTTGTCTGTTGCGTGATACAGTAGATTGAAGTGGAGTGGAGTCGACGACAATGAAGCAGATGATTTGTAATAGTAGGTGGCAACCTTGTCTCACCTGTCAACCTGTCTTCACTTCGTATGCCTCAGTGAGCTGAGCTTTCGATGATGAATGACTTTGCATGTAGTGTCGTCATATGTCATATAGGTGGTGTTGTTGACTGAGGTTGATGAATGTTTGTGGGAGCAAAAGGGTAGTATTGAAGCAGCAGGTTGCTGTGACGCTGTTGACACTATTGAAGGAAGGTTTTTTGAAAGTGGATGAAGTTGATGTAGAGTAGAGTAGAGTTGAGTTAACTGGCTGGCTGTGTGCTGGTTGGGTGTGTGTGTATGTGTGGCTGGAATTGTATGCTGTGTTGTATGATGATGCGTAGAGTACAGTTGTAATTTGATCGGGACATGATTTGTTGTTTTTTTCGGTTACCCAGCCAATGTCTTCCGGTCTTAATTTTGAATCTTTCCTTCATTTGTTTTTCATCATAACTCACGTTCAGTTATCATCTGTCTTTTTAATAAGACTATTGTATATTATTGTAATTGCTTATTACATTTTCATTTTATATTTAATCAGCTCATTAAAACAAGCTGATGAATCATTGGTGATATCTCGCTTAATTGTATTACGTAATCATCGTAGACAATTACGATTACAACAGACATTAAATATCTTATTTCAATTACGTAATTTACAGAATAATATTCATCACCTTGATACACTTATCAAAGTAAGTTTTGATAATTGATTATAGGCTGTTTTATTTCATTTTTCAATATTCAATTTTCAATTTCATGTTCATTCATGTTTTCTTTCTTTGTTTTTCACTGTAGTGAGGATTAGTTAACTCCATAGTATTCAATTTTTACCTATAAATTGATTATGTTTTATTTTCCAATCGATTCTGCCATGTTCTTGGTTATCTTGTCTACTTTTTCTTTTTTACTTTTTCTATGTGTTTTCTCTTGTATGTGATAAAAATTCTATTTTGGAGTAGCGCATATTGAGAACTTGTGATATATATTTTCTTTACCAGTTGATTTTAGTACTTCACGAAGTTAGAATAATATGAAATTTCTATTCTAATTCAAATATACAATACTTTGTATGGCAGAATTAATTCTACGGTGATTGATTAAGTTTTCAATTAATCCCTAAACAGAGAAGGCGAAGGCGGTTTGTTGTCTTCAATATAAGTGTAAAACATGATCACTGTGGTAGACATTTAATTCCATATTAAATTTGTTTATTTGATTTATAACACACAGTGATCTAGTATTGTTTACTCGATAACGAAGTTTCAAGCATAAATTATCATTGGCCATATCGACAATTACTCCACACATATAAACTCACTTAGTAGGCTCAGTCTAATTCACTTATGAGGTAGAAAATGAACAAAACGAATTACCTATGTTGAATTGCAGGATAAAATGAAGGACAGACAGTGGTTTGGATACTACTGTCTACAGGAAACCGACACCTTCTAACAGGTATTCAGACTTCAAGTCATCTCATCGAATATCAGTCAGTTAAGGTAGGTTTAGTGAAATGTGTAAGTGATAGATTTGGAAAAGTGACTGGTCAGTGCAAGGACCTAAACAATGAATTGAAACACGTAAAAAAAGCACTAATAGTTAATGATTATCCTCTACTGTTTGTGTAGAAATTCCTACGAAGACAAGAGTATGAATAATAACGACAACACAAGTAGAAAGGAGTTCGCAGCCTCCACTGTGTTATAATATAAAGAAGGTATATCAGTAACTTTCCATAGGTTCATTAACGAAGCTGCATTTAGAATGACATTCAAACCTACAAATTGTCTCAGAGATAAGCTTTTTCGACTAGCTTAATAATCCGATAGAAGGAATTATTCAACCAAACTCCACCTAATGACTGTGAGGTCAAGTACATAGGTGAAACTAGCCCCTCGGTGTCAGTTAGAATAGTGGAACATAAGAATTTAGCTAAATATGGAATAAGGGACCCGAATAAGATCAATAATCTAGAAGGGAACATCATCTATTGCAATGCATGTACTATTACACACAACCACACAATAGGGTGGTGGATAAAGCCGCTGTACCACTTAAGTCTAATATGATTAGGTGGAAAGAGAAGGAGAGAGAGATGGCTTTCTGGGTCCTTGTTCATCAAATCAACCAACTTCCGACACATGTAATAGGAATGATGCAAGACCTATACCAGAGATATGAAAATTGCTACTACTAACAGAAAAAAGAATAAGAGGTGACGGGAGTATAAAAAGCAGAAGTTGGAAGTTGTGTGTGGTCACACTGATATGATTATGAGCAACGATAAATTATGCTAGAAACCTCGTCATCAGGTGGACGATACTTCATAACACTGTGTACTGTGCATAAAATAAACAAATCTAATATGGGAGGGTTTGTTGTCTCTTTTGGAATAGGTAAGGCTAAAACGGCAGATTCAGTCTTTTGATGAAGTTCTTTGATGCTCTATTCACTTGGTTTACACTTTCAAGCTGTCAGTTGGATGGAGGCAATCGTCAGGTTTCGTGCTTTCTGGCATCCATCAACAAGGCGTATCTACAACCTCAATGGAACTGATGTGCCGCCTGATTGATAGAATTCGATCAGTTCCATCAAGGTTGCGGATACGCGTTGGTGACAGGTGTCAACAAGCACAAAACCTAGGTCCACAGCTTCCTGCCAATTGCCTCTATTCAACTCACATCTCTCTCAGTGCATCGTGATGGTGAGTTACTTAGCCTGCTTGTCACATTGCAAAATGATCAATAGGATTCAGTAAGCACTTAGGACTAGAACACATGAAGTTGCTCACCCTTCAGTAATCACCAATCAATATACACCTTCAAATCGATATATTACTTATTGACAAAAGGTTTCTAGATAAAAGTGGAGCTGTTGGTCATTAGTTTGAGCGGTTGACTTTCAATCAACGGGTCATGGGTTCGAATACCACTCGAACTACCAAAGTTTGGACAGCCAGGTGGTACTATCAATAATCTTCACACGATTGGTGTGATTCATTGCGTATCGTACTAATGTGAACAAGGTTTTTAACTGCATCTCGTTTCGATTCTAAACAAATCTGTTAATTTTCTTTGAATTATTTCAGGATTCATGGAGGTTGTCGTTGATATTCTTATTGCTCTGTAGGCAGGATGATTGCATTAAGTAAGGGTTATCTTTATGCTTTACTTCATATACAAGTCGTCTTTTGAAGAAATCTAATTTGAGTATCATAGGATTGGTTCCCTTAATTTGTAAGGCTGATGACCACCTGCTAAGGTGTGTGTACGTGTGTTATTTTTCGAGCAGCTAGGATACACCATCTCTTTAGATTTTCAGTAATCTTTGCTACCACTCTACTCTGGTATAGTTTGTAGAACAGCTCCATCCCTTAAAATGATTTTAATTACTTTGACTCACTGACAAAATCAACATAGAGCCTCGTACACAGCTGCATCAACTCAAACTGCCACACTTCGTGGTAGAATACAAGGAACAGGTGAGTAGAAAAGGGATGATGATCAAAGTAGATAAAGTAGTGTGCTAGAATAAACAATCTGAAGATAACAGTTAGTGTGAATATTCAAGCTTTAGAAGATGACGAAGATGTCAAGGAGGGAATACAAGTGTGCCATCATGATCGGTTTCTAGAATTAGAATAACTTGCGATTGTTGTCAGTTCCATTGAAAGGTTGAATTGGCAACATCGTGGACTGTAGCGTTGGATGATGTGGGTTCGAATTCAAGTGGAGATATCAATTCCTTTGCCTTTCTGAATAATACCAACAATCATGAAGTATAGATTAAGTGGAGACTCCTGCCGATGGCATGTAACCTACTGACTCTCATCAAAGTTCATCATGATAGTGAATCTCCCAGTTTGATAATTTCATTACAGAAGGATCGATGAAATTCAGTCGGCACTCAGAACTAGGCAACATGAAAAATTGGTTATTTTCCAGTGATCAGTCAATCAACTGTCTCATTTACTCATATAATCAGTTTCTGTAGGAAAAATTTTTCTAATTTTCTTATAATAATTGTTTTCATTCTTCTAATTGGCTGTTTTAATTTTTTAAAAAATTTCAGCAAGGTGATTTTTATGCTGCTATCCAACTACATCGTGAAAGTCTTGTCCTGTTAGAGGATTTTCGTTCTTATAGGTGTACTGAGTAAGTTATAGTACTGATTTTTTCAACAAAAAAAAACCCAACAAACTTGTCTTCTTGTAATCATAATGAAGATGTACACTTCAGTATGAGAATAAGAATTGCTTAGTGTGTTCCCTCAGTGAACTTTCATATATTTGATCGTGGACATTTCATCCATAGGCTTAACGTCCTAATCCTCATTAGTTTTATAAATAATTAAGGAATGTGTAAGTATTTCAGTGGTGATTTTGACCATTACTGATACCATCCGTTTATAAGTGACAGAAGACTGCAACTTTGAATCATCTAGTCTAGAGTCTTCAAATATTAATTTCAGTTTTCTCAAAGGGGGGGGGAGGGGGCGGCCTGAACTTGTAAGCATAAATCTTATAAGATGGCTTAAACGAATAGCCAGACACATTATATATAAATGGCTTATTTTGTTCTGATCACTTCTAACTTTTTTCCTGCATTCGTGCACTAAAGTCGATGGTGTTCCAAGGTACGTTACACTTTCTCGTCACCTAAGATAATGAAGGGTCAAAACCTCGTTAACTGACTCTGCCGTGTTCAAGCAACAGTCATCATATATCTAGAGTCTTTTCTATATCCTCTACCTATAATTTCTATGCTAGTGGATGTGTTCAAAGTAAAATCTTGCAGTTTTAAGGCAAGGTATGGATCCAATGCTTGTTCAGAAGACTTAACATCTTGTCGATGATTTTGATTGGTAGGACCATGTTGTCTATGTACTTTAAGTTACCTAAGGAATTTCTCAAGAGCAGATCAGTCCCTTTAAAGACAGTTAATGATATAGAGACCATTACAAGGATACTTATGACTAGGTTAAAAAAAAACAGTAAACTAATCATTGCTAGGTAGTAGACATCTCATCGTTCCACGGTTATCATTGTAAATGTTAGGTGTAGGGTCTTAGGCAAAAGAGGAAAATTAAGCATTGCTAACTTAAATTAGATTAGGTTGGAAAGGGGTTAACAATGAATAGACTGAAATGTATGATTAGTTTAAGAAGTATCCGATCAACGGTTTGAAATTGTACACCTACTGGTTAGAGTCTAATGTTCGTTATTCACTGTGTACCCCTTCTTTTTCCTTTAGCGTAACTTTATGCAACTTTTAATTAAATTGTTTCTATTCCCTTGTCTGTTTTTGGCATTTTATTTTAATATGCTGATGTGAAGTGCGGTAACTCAGATCTTTATCTTCTCCAAGAATTCCATACCTTATAGTCACAATTAACTCAGTCTGATGTTAAAATTTCTGATATGAGTAGCTGAAATAAATAAGTTTTATCCGAAATTATGGATTACTTAGATCACTGGTTTCATATGAAATTCGTTTGTTTTGATCAGCGTAGGCTTACAGGAGATATGATCGTCTCAAGTGACAAGTATTCTTCAATTCAGATTTATGTATACAAAGTCTTAACGCACTGAATTTTATACCATAATAGAAAAGTTTATTTGCATAGCTTATCATTGTTTTTTTTCGAACCATAATCATCATCATCATCATCATCATCATCATCATCATCATCATGATTGTTGACTTTTTTTGCCACCATTTTCTTTCAAAGACCAATTCATATCAAATTGAAAGCAGCAGAATTACGTATTGATGAGAAATTGGATTCAGAGTTACAACGAAGTTGTGAACATTTCAATGATAAATCGTATTCAACTGTACAGCGTGCATTTGAGTAGGTGATTTTTTTCTCCATACATATTTTCACGTTATATACAGGTAAAAGTGTGAAGCTGTAGAGTAATAGTCTGCATATTTGATCTCCAACTGATAAGAGCTCAAACCCAGCTTCATGTGATGAGGTTTAAGCGGCCAGGTACTATCGATGGCCCCTACACATCAGGTGTGGCTCATTAGCTTAGTCACTTAGCTTCCAACCGATTGGTTACTGGTTCGAAACCAGCCTTAAGGTATCTAGGTTTGAGAAGTCATATAGTAGCATTAGGCTTGGCATTAGGTGTGACTTATTACCTATTTTCACACAAGCTGGAAGATCGATAGGCAAGAACTAACAAGTTGGGAGAAGAGGCGAGACAAGGCAGCGAAGACAGGATATATTTCAGGTGAACGTATAGAAGACACAGGTGATGAAGATATTCAACCAACTAACCAACAACAACAAGCACCAATCAACATCAACCGGAGAAATATTAACGAAGTTGTCTCTTTCGACTATCTAGGTAGCATCGTTTCAACTACATGCACCACAGGCACAGATGAGGAGGTGAAAGTCAGGATTGGGAAGACAGCAAGACACTCCTTCATCAATCTGAAATAATCAGTGTGGAGATCTACTCCACTCCACTGCACTCAGTATAAAGCGTGAACAACATCAGATTTTCAACACTGAGTCAGTCAACTAAGTCACTGCTTCCATGTGATGCTTCACTGACTTCCCACCCTACGAAAAGCATTTCCAACTAACTAAAGACATACATCATATCAACAGCTGTCGCCTACGCTTGATACTAAAGATCAGATCAGATCACATCAGATCAGATCAACTCAGATGACCAGAATAATAAGAATAAGTAGGAAGGAGCTCTGGCTGGCCCTGTAACCAACCAACTAACCAACAACCTATCGCCTATCAAGTATGCAGAATAAGAAAGTGGCGATGAATCCAGCGTACACTGAGAAGATCATTTGAGGACATCACGCGTCAGACCAGGTGGTCAAGTGGAACCCAAAGGGGAGACGATGAGTTGGGTGGCCGAGATGAGGGTAACATGGAGGAAATCATGTGAAGAAGAAATGAAAGGTAATGGACGGTCGTTGAGTCAGGTTGAAAAGACTGCATAGAAGAGAGTGAAATGGCGATGGTGACGTGCTACTGAAGCCCTACGCTCCACTAGGAGCTGCCTAAAATTGTTCAAATCTCTTTGGAATCATGGATTAAACATTTAATATAACTGTAAAACTGATTAGATTAACTGATGTTTTACCCTGACATGTATTACTAACGACAACTCAGGGTTCATGTAAGGCTTTAGTTAAGCTACTCATGGCTTGGCTTTACAACTTACTGTTAACTGAAGTATAGTATTAGTCTTAGTTCAGAGAAGATGAAACATATACTGAATTTACTATTAAATCTGATAATAAGGGAACATAATTTTCAAAAATTCAAAGTGATATTTTACAAAAATTGACTGATTTCTCATATGAACATAAATTCTATCTGTGTAGAATTCTCTGTGATGATATCAGATTTACTGTAAATTAGACTAGATGGTTGAATGTGATCTGTTTTTGTTGACAACTAGTTACAGTTAACTTATCTTTATAGAGTGATAACTATATCATCATCGAACTAAGGAAACATTACAAGACTATAGACTGTTCACTAGCTGATTACCAGAGAATAATCAGTAATAAACTGGAATCAGCATATTGATGAAGTAAACTAGTCACTCACATACAAAGGGTATACTTGAGATCAGGTTACTTCAAACAACATCTCAAACAAGCAATTTTCAGTCAAAGATGATAAGAAAGAAGACCAGCAATTATCTTAATTCTTATAACTGGATGTAAGACGACTTTTCTATTCGTTATATCGTCATCATCACATTTTCGAATCAACTAGAGAAGTAATAAAACTTAGAAAGGACCGAGAAGTTATTTCATTGTAGCTTGTAACTTCTCAACAGCATTGTTGCATTCACAAAATTCCATTATGAATAACTCAGTGAGCGTCTTGCAGCTCACTTGATCAACACGTATATCCTCAAATTGGGTATCGTTTCATAGCAGTCATGCAAACCGTTCAACCACTGAAGGTTCTCAGTTCCATTCCTAGCCGGGTCGGGTATGTGTACTCCTGAGGTGTCCCATACTACGACGAAGCAGTTGTCCAGCACGCTCCTACATTTTCAATGCTTCACCAAAAGATGTCAGTCCCTGATTAATTATTATTATTATTATTGTTTGTCCATAGAATTCCTAGTCAAACACACAGCTTCAGTAGCACGTTGCCATTTCTCTCTCTTCTCTATAGTCCTTTGAAACTGGCTCGACGGCTACCCACAACATTTCATTTATTTCTCACACCATATCCTCCATGTCAACCTCACCTCGGCCACCCAACTCATCGTCTCCCCTTTGGGTTCCACTTGACCACCTGGTCTGACGCGTGATGTCCTCAAATGATCTTCTCAGTGTACGCTGGATTCATCGCCACTTTCTTATTCTGCATACTTGATAGGCGATAGGTTATTGGTTAGTTGGTTGGTTGCAGCGCCAGCCAGAGCTCCTTCCTACTTATTCTTATTATTCTGGTCATCTGATCTGATGTGATCTGATCTGATCTTTAGTATCAAGCGTAGGCGACAGCTGTTGATATGATGTATGTCTTTAGTTAGTTGGAAATGCTTTTCGTAGGGTGGGAAGTCAGTGAAGCATCACATGGAAGCAGTGACTTAGTTGACTGACTCAGTGTTGAAAATCTGGATGTTGTTCACGCTTTATACTGAGTGCAGTGCAGTTCAGTGGAGTGGAGTGGAGTGGAGTGGAGTAGATCTCCACACTGATTATTTCAGATTGAAGAAGTCCTGTACTGCTGTCTATGTATGTAGGTAGGTAGGTGAGGGAGATTACTTCGTTAATATTTCTCCGGTTGATGTTGATTGGTGCTTGTTGGTTAGTTGGTTGAATATCTTCATCACCTGTGTCTCGTCTACTTTTACTTCACTGCCTTGCCTTGCCTCGCCTCTACTGCCAACTTGTTGGTTTTGCCTGCAGATCTTCGAGTTTGTTCGACATAAGATACTAGACATAAATCATGATTGTTGACGAAATCCAAATCTTTTTCCAGGGTCCTTTCATCGCATCGTTCAAACGGCCTAAGGCCCCTTCTTAAAGCTCCTCAGAGTTGTTTGTTGCATGATCCAGTGGAGTGGAGTGGAGTGGAGTGGATTCGACGATAATGAGGCAGATGATTGTTGATAGTAGGTGGCAACCTTGTCTCACCTGTCAACTTGTCTTCACTTCGTATGCCTCAGTGAGCTGAGCTTTCGATGATGAATGACTTAGCATGTAGTGTCGTCATATGTCATATAAGTGGTGTTGTTGACTGAGTTTGATGAATGTTTGTGGGAGTAAAAGGGTAGTGTTGAAGCAGCAGGTTGCTGTGAAATTACTTCTGGACGCTGTTGACACTATTGAAGGGAGGTTTTTTGAAAGTGGATGAAGTTGATGTAGAGTAGAGTAGAGTAGAGTTGAGTTGACTGGCTGGCTGGCTGGCTGTGTGCTGGTTGGGTGTGTGTGTGTGTGTGTGTGTGTGTGTGGCTGGAATTGTATGCTGTGTTGTATGATGATGCGTAGAGTATAGTTGTAATTTGATCGGGACATGATTTGTTGTTTTGTTTTTTTTGGTTACCGAGACAGTGTGTTCTGGTTGTAGTTTTGAATGCAGATGATTTTCCAGTGTGTCTCTCCAGGCTGATGTGGCTTAGTATTTTGCTTTAGGTGGAGTATTGTGGAGGATGATTCGGTGTGAGTTCTTGCAAAGAATTATGTCTCCCTTGTTTGTAAGTTTGACAAGGTAGCCTTTCTTGCAATCTGCGGATATTTTTCCTTCCTTTCTTTTGGAGTAGTGATGTGAGTATATCCGTTGTTGTCTGTGCTTCTGTCTTTAGTGTTTGTGGATGACTTTCCTGTTAGGATGCTGGTTTCCCAGCTTTCAGCAACTTCATGGTGTTCAAGACTTCTCCTTTTTTCGGAGTCGGTGATGAATACTTTCTCAAAGGTAAAATCCACTAACGTATGCATATATAATATCATACTTCTAGCACATATTTTAGCTAAGATCACTAAGTGTTTACTGATTGTAAATATGATTATTAGCTTATATTGTTATGGAATCCCTATGACAGTGTCAAACTTGTATGCAGTACTGTCAGATTTCTAAGATTGTTTTTGTTTTGAAAATAGTTGAAATGGTTATTGTCAGATTAGAAGAAGCTTTCAGTTAGCTCTGGCTTGCATGACTGGAATCTATGGATTAGTAGTTCTTCTGGTTGTTAACCTGTGTACTAGTAAAAAGCGGCGGCGAAACTGTTCACAATCCTAATTGTGTATCAAGGATTCCTAGGAAGTATCCTGAATCACTTCTGCAAGAAGAGGGTTATAGGGTTTAGGAACGTTTAGAGAATAGAAGTGTTCTATCTTATATCTAACCTGTTATCTTCTAGGCTTAGTCTCTGCATATGTCCTCCAAAATTAGTGCTACAACTAAGATTCAGTAAGTGACGAAATGGGTGTCTAGAGGTGTTTAAGATGTTGTGAGCCAATACCAAATCTCCTTTTTGTTTTCTATATTCCAGAAGATATAGATCAACCCAAACCAGTCGTTCTTCCTATGTTTTACAGGTAAATTCTCAAACTAGTTTGATCGAGTGCCTCTGGATTTCCTTCTTCAGAAAGTGGGTTAGGGGGTTAAAGACCAAAGTCTTGAACTCTTCAATTACTTTAATTCTACCACTCTTTCTGACTAATATTATTGCATTACTATTTATGTCTTCATTTCTTACTTGATACAGACTTCTTGGAAGTACTCAGACAACATTCGCTCAACTTCAAATGCACTATGTAGCTGCTATCCAACGAAGGTCATTTAATTTAGTTCAATTCCATTTGGAATCACCTTCATTAAATATGATAGATACATCTGGAAATACAAATTCTGACCATTCCTCTTATACTGAGATGTGTCAAGTATGTTATGTAATATTTTTTTTAAAATCCCTCTCTCCATCTTTCTCCTTCTTCTTTCTTTCCTCGTCTATACTCACTATAAAGTCCAGTTGAATACACCTACTTTGATTTTGAAACTTGAACGCAATCCCTTGTCGAGTCATAGATAATACACTGATAAGAAGGAGACAGTCAAAAATATCAAAACGATGATTAGAATATTCAAAGACAACCATCTACATACTGTTCAACTCAGAAGGTATTCTCTAGAAATCATCCTGAAAAAATGTAACTAATTCATTCACCTTACTAAAGTAACACTGAAGTTAATATCTAGGCTAGGATCAAAATCTTTTACCACACTTCAAAAGTAAAACCTCATACAGGAGTGCATCATTTCAACTTGTCACACTTCACAGAAGTACATAAAGAATAGGTAGGTAGAGAGCCATTGTAACCGATATCCAACGATGTCACCAAGAGTCCTCAATCACTGATTGCTTTCGTCTCAAGAATCCCAACCAAGCAGTCTGTATCTTTTTTTACTTAGCTTAGAACAAGAGTCAGTGACTTCATCGACTAGTGTTATGCCTTGGTTAGACCACCCTGAATTCTCTCCCAATCTAATCTAACTTCGTCTAGCATGGCATATTGAGGTTGGCGGTAACTTAGTATCCACAATACATGTCCAAGCCATCTAAATCGATGAAGTTTCATAACCCTCTTTGCCTGACCTGGATATTGCTCACGCGATAATTCCGTCAATGCTACGAAGACATCTGTGATCGAAATTCAGTTATCGTTAAACCTGAGTTTAGAAAATACAGAACATCCACAACTCTGAATGTAAATATCTATCATCATATGATTGTAAAGAGTAGGGAAACATTTTCAAGTTACGCGAATATTTAATAACTTTAAGAATTATTTGGCCTATGTACAGGGTTGGATGATTTTTCTATCGTATATTGTTCTCTTTTATCTTTTATGGTATTTCCTCGTACTTAGATGAAAAGAAGTTGTGTCATTGCCAATGTATAACTTATTTCATTGATCTAATGTTGAATTGTTTATTATTACTATTTATCCCTTGGGCTTCTAGTGGAATATAGGGCTTCAGCAGTACGTCGCCATTTCACTCTCCTTGCAGTCTTTTGAACTTCGCTCCGCGACTCCCCACAAGATTTCATTTATTTCTCACACCATATCCTCCATGTCACCCTCACCTCGGCCACCCAACTCATCGTCTTCCCTTTGGGTTCCACTTGACCGCCTGGTCTAACGCGTGATGTCCTCAAATGATCTTCTCAGTGTACGCTGGATTCATCGCCACTTTCTTATTCTGCATACTTGATAGACGATAGGTTGTTGGTTAGTTGGTTGGTTACAGGGCCAGCCAGAGCTCCTTCCTACTTATTCTTATTATTCTGGTCATCTGAGTTGATCTGATCTGATGTGATCTGATCTGATCTTTAGTATCAAGCGTAGGCGACAGCTGTTGATATGATGTATGTCTTTAGTTAGTTGGAAATGCTTTTCGTAGGGTGGGAAGCCAGTGAAGCATCACATGGAAGCAGTGACTTAGTTGACTGACTCAGTGTTGAAAATCTGGATGTTGTTCACGCTTTATACTGAGTGCAGTGGAGTGGAGTAGATCTCCACACTGATTATTTTAGATTGATGAAGGAGCGTGTTGCTGTCTATCCAATCCTGACTTTCACCTCCTCATCTGTGCTTGTGGTGCATGTAGTTGAAACGATGCTACCTAGATAGTCGAAAGAGACAACTTCGTTAATATTTCTCCGGTTGATGTTGATTGGTGCTTGTTGTTGTTGGTTAGTTGGTTGAATATCTTCATCACCTGTGTCTCGTCTATTTTCACTTGAAGGAAGTCTCGCCTTCACTGCCTTGCCTTGCCTCGCCTCTACTGCCAACTTGTTGGTTTTGCCTGCAGATCTTCGAGTTTGTTCGACATAAGATACTAGACATAAATCATGATTGTTGACGAAATCCAAATCTTTTTCCAGGGTCCTTTCATCGCATCGTTCAAACGGCCTAAGGCCCCTTCTTAAAGCTCCTCAGAGTTGTTTGTTGCATGATCCAGTGGAGTGGAGTGGAGTGGAGTGGATTCGACGATAATGAGGCAGATGATTGTTGATAGTAGGTGGCAACCTTGTCTCACCTGTCAACTTGTCTTCACTTCGTATGCCTCAGTGAGCTGAGCTTTCGATGATGAATGACTTAGCATGTAGTGTCGTCATATGTCATATAAGTGGTGTTGTTGACTGAGTTTGATGAATGTTTGTGGGAGTAAAAGGGTAGTGTTGAAGCAGCAGGTTGCTGTGAAATTACTTCTGGACGCTGTTGACACTATTGAAGGGAGGTTTTTTGAAAGTGGATGAAGTTGATGTAGAGTAGAGTAGAGTAGAGTTGAGTTGACTGGCTGGCTGGCTGGCTGTGTGCTGGTTGGGTGTGTGTGTGTGTGTGTGTGTGTGTGTGTGGCTGGAATTGTATGCTGTGTTGTATGATGATGCGTAGAGTATAGTTGTAATTTGATCGGGACATGATTTGTTGTTTTGTTTTTTTTGGTTACCGAGACAGTGTGTTCTGGTTGTAGTTTTGAATGCAGATGATTTTCCAGTGTGTCTCTCCAGGCTGATGTGGCTTAGTATTTTGCTTTAGGTGGAGTATTGTGGAGGATGATTCGGTGTGAGTTCTTGCAAAGAATTATGTCTCCCTTGTTTGTAAGTTTGACAAGGTAGCCTTTCTTTCAATCCTTCCTTTCTTGTGTAGTAGTGATGTGAGTATGTCCGTTGTTGTCTGTGCTTCTGTCTTTAGTGTTTGTGGATGACTTTCCTGTTAGGATGCTGGTTTCCCAGTTTTGAGTAAATTCATGGTGTTCTAGAATTTTGCTTTTGTTGGAGGGCTTTTATTCACTGGTAACTTTTTGGCAGCTGGTGGTATTTGTGGACTGGTCGCAGGTGGTGTTGGATTTAAAATGTTGAATTATGGATTGAATTTATTCTTTCCCGAATGTTCAATTTTTCGTTTTTCGTTTCTGTTTTAGTTAACCTGTATTATATTCAGAGATTATTGTACAGAAGTATACTCTTTATGTATCATTTTTTAAAATCTTAAATATTCCTGTTCCCTGATATTGTTGACTTCAAATGAAATGAATTTCAAGTTTAATGAAATCCGCATTCTACTAGGCTTTTAATTAGCAAACAATTGCGGTATTCAAGTCTTGCGTTCATTCTAGCTATTTATTCATGGATATAATCTCAAATTGAATAGATTCATACTATTTTATATGTTAGATAATGTGATGTGTAATGTCTCTAAAGCATTACGTGATTTCTTGAATTGGAATAATTGACTTTAGACAACTCATGTTATCATGTCATTAATTTAGTTCCCTTTATGTGAACAATATTTGGAAGACAAGATGATGTCATTTATTTCATAGGGTCTTCTTCAGCTGCATACACCTTGTATTTTATGATGAATAGGGATTTTAATTCTGAAGTAGGGTCCATTATGGAGTGATATCAATTTGAGGAACATTGGAAACATTGGATCACTAGACAGCTGTTTTGTCCTAGTGTGGGACTCCTCAGCAGCATCTACCCATGACCCCTACCCTCCAGGGATCGAACTGACGAAATTCAGGTTCTGTGGGCAGCACTTTACCACTGAGTTACTGGGTTCCGAACCAGTGGGTCAATGGTAACCTTACTGGCTACGGAACCTGAAAGTCATGGACTCGATCCCTGGAGGGGATGGATCACGGGTGTGTACTGCTGAACTCACGCATACTGGAGCGGAACAGCTTTCCAGTTCTCCAAGGTTTCCAATGTTCCTCCAAATGATTTCAATCTATGGTGAATACCAACTTGAAGTTTGGCGTAGAATCGAGGTCTTTTTTCTGTTGACTACTATAAAAGATTGCATCGCATCTCTATATAAATTAAAGAGATTACTTATTTATTTAGTTTGTTTACAGCTGTTGAAGATCCCATGAAATAAATGACATCATCTGATCCTGAAAACAGTGTTCTCATTGCGATTTTATAATAGTTTATTGTTAAATTCCTAATCTACTGAGTCATATCTCTGAAGTCAATAATTGCACTTAGTAAATCTCCAAGGTGTTTATTGTTGTATATTTTGATGAACTACTGAATATGTAGAAACCTTGCCTGATTAACTAGTTCACTAGTTACCAGCCGATCCTAAGCCGGGATAAAGAGGTAAGGTTGGGCATTGCGCTAGCAACCCTTCCCAGTAAAACCACTCCAACCCCTAAAGAATATCACACAAAGTCGAAGATCTGCAGGCGAAATCTAACAAGTTGACAGAAAAGGCAGCGAAAAAGAGACTTCAAGTGAACGTAGGGAAAGCAGAGATGATGAAGATATCCAACCAACTACAACAAGCACCAATTAACATCAACTGGAGAAATCTAAAGGAAATTGTCTCGTTCACCTACCTAGACAGCATCGTTTCAAGTAAAGGCCGCGGCATAGATGAGGATGTCAAAGACAGGATCGGAAAGACAGCAACACAGGCCTTCATCAATCTAAAATAATCAGTGTAGAGATCTACTGCACTGCACTCAGCATAAAGCGTGAACAAGATTCGAATTTTCAACACTAAGTCAGTCATGTAAGTCACTGCTTCTATGTGGTTGAGAGACTTGCCGCCTACGCTCGTTGCTGGAGATCAGATGGTCATAAAGAATAACGAACCAACTAATTAAGAACCTATCGTCCAACAGATATGTAGTAGAAAGTGGAGATGGATTGAGCATACACTGAGAAAACCATTCGGAGACATCACGCGCCAGACGGTCGAGTGGAATCCAAAGGGGAAACGACGAGTTGGGCGTCCGAGGTGAGAGTGACATGGAGGAGATCATGTGAGGGAGGAATAAATGAAAGGTTGTGGGCAGTGGTGGAACCAGGTTAAAAGAGAAGACTGCAGAGGAGAAAGTGAAATGGTGATGGAGACGTGCTACTGAAGCCGTATGTTTCACTAAGAATCCAAGGGACGAATAATAATAGTCATAATAATAATAATAATGAGTATGCAGAATGTTAAAGTTTAAGTTTTCATTCTTTGTTACTCATAATCTAATGATTATCACTTTCTTTCAGTTTCCTTATCCTTATCTTCGAGATGCATAGTTTTCATCAACTTCTCTATTATTATTACGGAACAGGATGAAGTTACTGAATGTAATAGCTCACTGACGAAATAATGATACTAAACACAATAGGACACTTGAAATGAATACGCCAACGACTGCTCACTGAACCAAGACATACCAGAAGACGAATACTGGCCTATGACTGCAAGGATGATTTTCTTTTCGATCAAAAATATATCATATATATATATATATATATATATATATGTCTCAGATCAAGGATAAAATAAATTATCCTAGATGGCTAGCCGAAGTAGGAAATTGTCCAATAAAATTTATCCTAATGACACAGCAGCATAGATCAAAATTCCAAGCTCAAGATTTTCTATCCGACTGCCACTGATTTAGGATGTTAGTTTCTATTTCAGCTACTTCCAGTAGTACATGAGACCCAACCAAACATAACCTATCCTCCTCAACGCTGTCTCCTTCTTTGCTTCCACCTTTTGAAACGTCTTACCTAATCTCTCACCGTACAACCATTCCCAACTATTGAAGCCATCGAAACCTCATTCCTAGCCTCCTAAGATCCCGCCATCGATTGTATGCAGGAACTTTTAACTTCCAAACTATATGCCAAACCGGAGAGAAAATATGGCTCGCCAGAACTCTGAAATCTCTAGCCATGGATGTATGCTTTGTCTCTGAGACACATATATAGAATCCGTGTGTGGTTATTAAATTCACCTTACCTGACCGTAGTAGTGAATCTTCAAAATTCACCTCAAGAGTATCCGGCAATCTAATGGCCAGCTCTTGTGGACTCACTGGTGTAGGGATAACATTGAGCTGTAGGGCAGAAAGCGCTCCTCTTGACTGGATAACAGTAAATAGCCGACTATGTACCATTCGATTGAGTGGATCTGTAAGAAATAGGAAGGATCATGAGACTAGGTGATGCCTATTTGTAAATCAGCCTACGTACTCTCCAAATATATTTCAGATGATGCAAAGGATGAATTCTATGAGAAATTGTCAATTTTGCTACACAAAGCAAAACGTTCAGATGTATTCATAATGGCAGGTGAGTGTAAAGCACAAGTAGGGAAGCTGCGTCGAGCGAAATCAAACTAGCGATGAACACAGATCACATTGCTATAAGCCAGTCATGGTTGGAGAGAATCGGTGAAGGATTGGCACTCTTTTTGGACTACCTGTTTGGACTCTGATCGCGCGGTAGTATGGGCTTTTGTATATCTGCACCTTACTGGCCTCAAGAAACATGGAGCATTGAAGTCTATCTATTATCGATTGGTGAATGAGGACGTTAAGTACGCACTTAAAGAGGAGTTAGCTAAGCGCTTATCTGAACGTGATAGCAATGATCATTCCGAGGAAATCTGGCGTGATATTAAGTCTGCTGTAAAAACAGCGGTAAAGGCAGTTGTTAACCTACATTTAAAGGTTAGCAAACGTTATTGAATTCCTTCAATGTAATCCAAACTGATTGGTGCGACAAGACTGATTCCAGCTGGATATGACCACAATAAAGAGCGAAAGTAACTCAAAAGTAAATTGACCAGAAGTCTTCGCGTCAACCGCGAGCAGTGGTAGGTGGAGGGAGCGAGAGAGACGGAGAAAACGTTGGATAACACTGAAGAACTATCTGGGCTTTTTAAGGATATCAGGAATAGTACGGCGATGGTAAGTGAAACCATCGCCGACAAGTATGAGATGCTGATAACGTCTCAGGATAAGCGGCTAGACAGTTGGGGAGAACACTTTGAAGCACAGTTCAACTGGCTAATAGCTATGTTTCAGTTGGCCAACATTTAGCCTGAATGGTACATAGATGTTGGTCCTCAAACTCTCCTAGGAGTTAAGAAATTTTTAGATAACTTGAAACGATAGAAAGCAGCAGGACCTGACAGTTCATCCGCTGAAGTTTTCGAGGATGGAAGTTATAAATTGGTGATAAGAGTGACAGAGGTACTACGAAGCGTATGGAAATCAATGGCAATGCCATCAGACTGGTATACTTCACTGATCATCGCAAGGCGGAGAAATCTTCTTGTGACAATCATAAGGCGGGGAATTAGTTTGACTAATATCGTGTTCCAGATCCCAAGCTCCATAGTTATACGACACCTAACTGGAACTCGAGAAAATCAGGTAGGTTTCAGACCTGGTGGGGGGTGCTTCGATCATATTTCCACCCTTTGTTAGGTTCTGTAAAACAGGTATACTTACCAGCCACCGATACATCATACCTCTCGACCTGAAGGTGGCATTTGACTCTGTCGACCACGAGGTATTGTGACTGTGAAGGGAGTATCGAGCAAGTATATAACGCTCATCAAAGCTCTCTGCTCGAACTGATTCAGCTGTCTCAGGCGTTATGGAGATTTGTCATCAGAACTGACAACAATTATTGGTGTCTGTCTGGGATGCCCATTATTACTGTTCCTATTTAGCTTCACTCCGGACATACTACGTACATCTGACTTTACAGAGATTGACCTACTCCCTGAAGGTCTTCTGGTTGACTTGGAGCTGGGTGAAGACACTGATGCAATGTAGGGTCTTCTGGACGCGTTGAACATAAATCTGAGTATGTTTGGCATATATTTCGCATCTGTCAAGTGGAAGATGAGATGGCTTCGACATGTACTGCGCATGCCGAACCACCTCCTATGTCTACATGCCTTGCTACCGGAAATTAGATTAGGTTGAAAGAGGATTCAGGGTGGTCAGTCCAAGACCTGACACGAGTCCACGAAGTCCCTGACTGTTGGTCTGAGTCATATTGGGAGATGTATAGACTGCCTGATTGGGGTTACCGAGACAATAGGAATTAGTTGATGAGGGCTCTTGGTGATATGGTTGAGAATCGGCCACAATGGCGCCAATGCATTCACTTCTTGGCGTCCTCAAAAGTTTGAATATTCACACTAACGGTTATCTTCAGATTGTTTATTCTCTCACACCACTTCATCTACTTTGATATCACTCCTTTTCTATCCAGTTGTTTTTTGTGTACTTCTTAGAAGTGTGACAAGTTGAAACTATGCAACTGTGTGCGACAGTCTACGTTGAACTTGTCAGTCAGTCACTTACTATCATGGAGTAACTCTTGTTACAAAGCATATAATTGTAAAATATTTAAACCTTTTGGTATATAAGTGTGGTTCATAGGTTTTCATGCAAACTTAAACTTGAAATTTCTTAGATAGATTGATTTTTCACTGTTCTCAGTTATTATAACAATTGGCGGTGTTCAACACACTGACCATTTAGACGGATAGAATTGTATAGTATAATGTCATGATAACATTAGTAGGGTCAATACACTAAGATGAATCAATCAAATATAAAATATACTATTAGATAAATTACTCATCAATGTGGTAGATGTAGACATATGAGTCCCTTTGAATGTATGTAATTGAACTGGCTTATGTTTATAACTTTACCAGTTCGAAACCTCTCAGGCCGATTTATAGGTTTCACCAGGTAAATCAAAGCGATTCGTATTGATTAGTAAGGGGAGTGCAACCAATTTCATGTTATCTAGTCCTGAGTGCAGACCGAAATCTATGGATCATATTTGCAATATGGCAACCAAGTTAGGAAGCTCTGCATTGTGGTGCATATTAGTAGATATTAGTTGGTTGGAGGCAATCGGCAGGGAGTCCTGGACCTAGGTTCTGTGCTGTTTGGTATTCATCAGCAACGCGTATCTGCAACCTTGACGGAACTGATGTCCCGCCTGAGATTCGAACCCGCGTCACCTAGTATTGTAGCCAGCGACTTTACCATTGAGCTTTTCGGGCTATTCAGGACACCAGTTCCATTGAGGTTGCAGATACGCCTTGCTGACGAGCGCCAAAAATCACAAAACCTAGGTCCAGGGCTTCCTGCCGATTGCTTCCAACCAACCAACAAAGTGATTTGTACACTGGATAGCTGTTTCACTCATGTTTCAGCTCATGAAGCCGAATTAATTTTTAGATCACCTGAATTTGACTAACTGACTTGGTAGCGACCCGGTCGGTTTCCAATGGTTCACAGTTTCCAACTTCTGTCAGTTCCCAACATAGCGCGACTATCACCTAAGGTCTTCAGTTAGCATCCACTTCACTTCCAACTGGTTGACCCCACAGGTTACGTCTTCTCATTAGAGCTTCGTGATATGCATCTGGAAGCAAGTTACTAATGAGCACTACACAGTAATGTATTTTTAAGATGAATGGGGATTTCTAATTTAGTATTCATCATGGACTGAAATCAGTTGGGGAACCATTGGAACGAAACAGCTGTCTAGTGCTCCCAGATTTTCAATGGTTTCCCAACTGATGTCAGTTCATGATGAATTATTTTTTCCCCTTGGGTTCCTGGTAGAACATAGGGCTTCAGTAGCACACCTCTACTGCACTTTGTTCTCTGCAGTCTGCTCAACCTGTCTGCACGACTGCCGAGATGCTTTATTTCTTCCTCACATGGTCTACTCTATGTCACCCTTGCCTCGGACGCCCAACTTGTCATTTCCCCTTTAGATTCCACTCGAGGGCCTGGCTCATGATGAATACTACTTCTAAGTTAAATTTTTGCTATTTTTATGTTGTTTTTTTTACTTGTTCTCATTAATTTTGTTTTCTTTTTTGCAAAAATAAAAAAAAAATCACTTCAAGAAACTTCCATATTGGAGTCTACTGCCTTGTCTAAGATCAATTTGTCAAAATATGTGGCAAATTCTACTTTGTTATCATCGTACTATTCAATGGCATAAGAATCGAGCCTCTGGTAAAAGTGTACGTTGGTTTCTTAGTGTTTTTTTATGAATATTTATATAATGTTGTTTACTTGTTCACCTAATATTTTAGTAGTATCGAGGTAGACCAGTTCGATCATAGGAAAAGAGAGAAGGCAATTGTAGAGAAGAACAACTGTTCTTACCAACCAGTTCATTCTGTTAACTGTGCATTTGTGAAAGTAATGTGAAAAAGATAGAACATTGCAGAATTCTGTCCTCGTTTCACAATGTGATCACCGAACTAGGAGACTTACAATAAGTTGGTTGGAAGCAATCAGCGGAAAGCACTTGACCTATGTTCTATTCATGTTGACACTCATCAACAAGGCATGTCTAAAACCTCGAGAGTTTCCTCGTGGGTTTCAAATCTATGTCAGTCGATTTCTACGAGGGATCAATCGTGGCATAAATAGTTCTCGATTAAAATCTCTGACTGTGGCACCAAAGGACGCAGGTTCAAATCCTACCATAGACATCAGATACATTAAGATTGCAGGTATTGCCCCCCTGAACTGATATTTTTCTCATCCATATCAAGACGTTTTTAATTATCGACCTGCCTCAAAGTAAAACATTCTACTGCATCGTATCGAACAGTATGTAATAAAGATTAGTCTTTAAACAAAGCAATTTCAGGACAGCATATTACTAGCGTGAGAAATATATCTTTCGCATTCTGTAAAACTAATAAGGAATCTCTGACTAACGAAAACGATATTCATGAATTCAGAGAAATTATTATTATCTGTCTTTTGGGTTCTTAGTGGGACGTAGGGCTTCAGTATCACGTCGTCATCGCCATTTCTCTCTCTTCTCTGCAGTCTTTTCAACTTGACTCGACGACTGCCCAGAAGCTTTCATTTCTTCTTCTTACCATCTCTTCCATGTCACCCTCAGTTCGGACGCCCAAGTCGTCATCTCTCCTTTGGGCAACACTTGACGGCCTGGCCAGACGCATGATGTCCTCCGAATGGTCTTAGTGTACCCCCGATCCATCTCCAATTTCTTATTCTGCATATTTGTTGGGCAATAGATTGTTGGTTGGTTGGTTCGTTGCGGGCCAGACAGAGTTTCTCTTCGCTTATTCTTATTATTCTGGTCATCTGATCTGATCTTCAGTGTCAGTGTGGAGTGAGCGTAGGCGACAGCTGTTGATGTGATGTATGTCTTCTGTTTGTTGGCAGCGCTTTTGATAAGGCGGGAAGTCTATGAACTAGCACATAGAAGCAGTGACTTAGTTGACTGACTCAGTGTTGAAAATCTGGATGTTGTTCACGCTTTATACTGAGTGCAGTGCAGTGGAGTGGAGTGGAGTGGAGTGGAGTGGAGTGGAGTGGAGTAGATCTCCACACTGATTATTTCAGATTGATGAAGAAGTGTCTTGCTGTCTTTCCAATCCTGACTTTGATATCCTCATCTGTGCCTGTGTCGCATGTATTTGAAATGCTGCTGTCTATGCAGGTAGATAGGTAGGTGAAAGAGATAACTTCGTTTATATTTCTCTGGTTGATTTTGATTGGTGCTTGTTGTTGTCGGTTGATTGGTTGAATATCTTCATCACCTCTGTCTTCCCTACGTTTACTTGAAGGGAGTTCCGCCTTCGCTGCCATGTCCTGCCCTACCTGTTCTGCTAACTTGTTAGTTTTCGCCTGTAGATCTTCGAAATTGTGCGATATAAGACATCAGAAATAAATCATGATCGTTAGCGAAATCCAAATCTTTTTCCAGGGTCCTTTCATCGCATCGTTCAAACGCCGTAAGGCCCCTTCTTAAAGCTCCTCACAGTTGTTTGTTGCATGATCCAGTGGAGTGGAGTGGAGTGGAGTGGATTCGACGACAAGGAGGCAGATGATTGGTGATAGTAGGTGGCAACCTTGTCTCACCTGTCAACCTGTCTTCACTTCGTCGACCTCAGTGAGCTGAGCTTTCAATTGTGAATGACTTTGCATGTAGCGTCGTCATATAGGTGTTGACGAGAAAGATATGATCATCTCTAAAACTGTTTTTCTAATGAATTTCAATCAAAATGAGGAAATTTGATATCCTTCATGGGCTCTAGTATGCAACCAATTCAAACGATTGTTTACCATAGGTTTTTACATGAATATGAACATCTTAGGAATGAGCTGAATGCTGAATACTTTCTAATAATGTGAAACTTCCAGCTCTTACAGATAGTATTGTTTAGAATGTTATCATTGTAAGTAAAGTACTCTACTGTTGTTGCATCAGATTTTATACTTGTATGTAACTTTAGCTCAGACGTCGAGTAGTTCTCTGCCATTCTCATCTACCTACCTTCGAAGTTGTAAACACTAAAACTGATGAACCTATGTAAGGCTTAATTAAAGGGTTAACAACTAACTTTACGGTATGAATTAATGTAACAACATGAAAACAATTCGTTTATTCACGATTAGTTTAGATGGATCATCTACCTGAGAGTATAAACAATTTACAATCTGTTCAGGATGCCTAATCTCTATTGTATTATTATTATTATTATCACTGAAAGATTTAAACCTTATTTTCGCGCCCTTTTTACATCATGCTATGTCAATTATTTTTACGGCAGTTTAGGATACTAAAAGCTGATTGTTCCATTTTACACTTTCAATATTCTGTTTTGTTTTCTCTTACCAAAGCCCTTCTAAAGAAGAATAAACGATTGAATTTTTAGCTATTATAATTCGTTTTGAGTAAATATACTTTCATTCTCAGCTTCAGCTGAATATCGAGTTGATAAGTCATTGTTCTATCGATAATCTCGTATCTTCTTGTATTGTATTATTATATATACCGGAGATCGTAATACAATTATTATTATTATTATTTTGACAGCTAAATATTGTTACTAACTTTAGGTTTTCTTTCTGAATTATCTATCTTTTTGCCTAGTTTTATAGATGGAATTTCGGTTCATTGATTTAATGAGAGATGACTTACAACGAACAAGTCATGGGTTCGAACACTATTCAATTCACTGAGATTTTAGTAATCAGATAGTATTATTAGACTTCATACAATAATAGTTGTCGATAAGGTTGCTAAGTGATCCATTTTGTATAGTTTAAAAATCTTCAAATTTACTTTAGATATTAAATGATAGAAAAATTGGCAAACACGAGCATATTGACAAAGTTGCTACATTACCCAACGAATGATGACAGCAAAAACAAACTATTACTAATTGTATTATCATTTTTTGTAACTAATAGGATATCATTTACTTCTAACCATTTAACATCAAATAAAGTATACTACTATGTGAAGATACTGTTGCTTTAAGGTCTCAGTATATTTCAGTCAGTTCGTTACTATCCTGATTCCCAGATCTTGACAAGTGTTGTATGGTTTATACTTACGACACATTGGTTTTGAAGTGCAGTATTTAGACTGATGTGTATTAATCCAACTAAGTTCATAGTTCTCTAGATGGATAGACGGAAAATTGAAGAATGTGTTCTTAGTTAAGAAATGATACTTCTGAGGTGAAAGAAGTCAATTTGACTGAAAACTTGAAAGAGATAATCTCACTAAGTTTATTATTATTCCCTTGGGTTCCTAGTGGAGCATAGGGCTTCAATAGCACGCCTCAATTGCACTCTCTTCTCTGCAGTCTGCTCAGCCTCCCTCCACGACTGCTCACAAGCTTTCATTTCTTCTTCACATGATCTCCTCCATGTCACCCTAGCCTCCGACACCCAACTCCTCCTTTCTCATTTCGGTTCCACTCGACGGCCTCGCCTGACGTGTGATGTCCCCGATCGGCCTTCTCAGTGGATGCCCAATCCATCTCCACTCTCTTCTTCTGCATATTTGTTGGGTGATAGGTTGTTGGTTGGTTCGTCGCCAGCCAGCCAGCCAGCCAGCCAGCCAGCCAGAGTTCCTTGTTGCTTATTCTTTCTGGCCATCTTACCTGATCTTCAGTATCGAGTGAGCGTAGGCGGCGACTGTTGATGAATATGTGTGTAGTTTGTTGGAAGTGCTTTTCATGACACACTAAGTTTCTCAACCATCACATAGCAACACTGACTTGACTGGATTAGTATTGAAAATCCGGATCTTCTCTAAGCTTGGCAAGCTAGTAAAAAGGTATCATAACTCAATAGGAATCATTGGTATGGTGAGTTATGTGTATACAAACTGATAAAATCAATGTAGAATCTCTTACACAAGTGAATTTGCTCAACTTGACACACTTCCAAGAAGTACACAAAGAACAACTGGATAGAAAAGGAGTGATATCAAAGTAGATGAAGTGGTGTGAGAGAATAAACAATCTGAAGATAACGGTTAGTGTGAATATTCAAACTTTTGAGGACGCCAAGAAGTGAATGCATTGGCGCCATTGTGGCCGATTCTCAACCATATCACCAAGAGTCTTCATCGACTAATTCCTATTGTCTCAGTAACCCCAATCAGACAGTCTGTACATCTCCCAATATGACTCATGCCAACAGTCAGGGACTTCATGGACTCATGTCAGGTCTTGGTCTGGCCACTCTGAACCTTCTTCTAACCTAGTCTGACTTTCTAGAGCATGGTATATGGAGGTAGGTGGTGGATCGTCATATACAATTTATATTCAAGCCATCTCAGTCGATGACGGTTCACAACCTCATAGATCGACTTAGCTACTTCTTTTCGCTTGACCTCACCTTTGCTCACAGGGTGTTTCCCACTGAACGTGAGCTACAAAGACATCTGCGATTAAAACACTGTAACTGCATCATGTCTTCTACCTTTAATGGTAATGTGTATTTTGTACGCTCCAGGTTCAAGATTTGACCTAATTGAGTTGAATAAGTTGAGGAAGAAAACGAAGTTTTTAACGTTTTTACGACTTTGTAGAAATCTCTTCTTCAGAGAATAAAACCTCTTCAAGTCATCGATTGTTGAAATAGTAAATCATGTATAGGCTATTTAAGTTAACCTATTAACAATATGAGTGTAAAACATGGGCATTGTGGTAGACATTTAATTCCATATTAAATTTGTTTATTTGATTTATTCACTTGATAATGAAGTTTCAAGTATAAATTATCATTGGCCATATCGACAATTACCCCACACATATAAACTCACTTAGTAGGCTCAGTCTAATTCACTCATGAGGTAGAAAATGAACAAAAAGAATTATCTATGTTGGATTGCAGGATAAAATGAAGGACAGACAGTGGTTTGGATACTACTGTCTACAGGAAACCGACACCTTCTAACAGGTATCAAGACTTCAAGTCATCTCATCGAATATCAGTCAGTTAAGGTAGGTTTAGTGAAATGTGTAAGTGATAGATTTGGAAAAGTGACTGGTCAGTGCAAGGACCTAAACAATGAATTGAAACACGTAAAAGATACACTAATAGCAGATCAATGGAATCACAGTACTTTCGACTTCCAATTTTTATAGTTCATTGAACAAAGATTCAGTAATCAATCTCCCACTCTCTCTCTCTCTCTCTCCACATAATTATATTGAAGCACAGTGGTTGTGTTATGTGTTGATGCATGCTTTACAATAACCAGCGTTCTCTTCGAGATTATTGACCTTATTCGGTTCTGTCATTCTATATTCGGATAAATTCATATGTTCCACTATTCTAACTGACCCCGACCGACTAGTTTCCCCTATGTACTTGACCAGACTCACCGTTATTAGGTGGAGTTTGATAGATTACATTAGTTTCATGAATTCCTTTTATCGGATCATTAAGCCAGACTCAAAAGCTTATCATCTCTGAGTGAGTTTGTAGGCTTATTAAGTGTCACCCTGATTCCAGCTTTGTTAAGGATCTTAAGTAAGGATTTTGATGTACCTTCCTTATAGTATAACACAGTGGAGGCTGCGAACTCCTTTCTATTTGTGTTGTGGTTATTATTCGTACTCTTGTTACTCTTATCTTTTTGTTTCTAATGTGTTCCTAGGAATTTCTACACAAACAGTAGAGGATAATCAATAACTATTAGTGCTTTTTTTACGTGTCTCAATTCATTGTTTAGGTCCTTGCACTGACCAGTCACTTTTCCAAATCTATCACTTACACATTTCACTAAACCTACCTTAACTGACTGATATTCGATGAGATGACTTGAAGTCTTGATACCTGTTAGAAGGTGTCGGTTTCCTGTAGACAGTAGTATCCAAACCACTGTCTGTCCTTCATTTTATCCTGCAATCCAACATAGATAATTCTTTTTGTTCATTTTCTACCTCATGAGTGAATTAGACTGAGCCTACTAAGTGAGTTTATATGTGTGGGGAAATTGTTGATATGTCCAATGATAATTTATGCTTGGAACTTCATTATCAAGTGAATAAATCGAATAATCAAATCTAATATGGAATTAACCTTCTAATAAGTTCACAAACTCACTATTATTATTATCATTATTGTATTAATAATAATTTTGTTTTCTTTTTAGTCGAAGTTCTCTCCTGAGAATAATGATAATCCATTTACTCCAGATTCATTTCGAACCAAGTCAAGTCAGCCTAAAATTAACTTAAGCAATAATAACAGAGCCACTGATAATGTTGTCAATGATGATGACATTGCTTCAACTGATACTGATCGAACTACTAATTTGATGAAGTTATCAACTGTAAATGATGATAATAATGATGATATTGATCATGGTTGTGATCCTCAATTGGCTAGACAATGGCATGATTATGTCGCTTGTAAATTAGATTCTGGTCGTTCACGTATATGGTCTGAGATCATCTCGCGTATTGAACCAATTCTAAGTGTTGTCGGTGTAGTTGCTAGAGATATGACATTCGATCAAATTGCATCACTTTTAGCCACTGTCAATCAGTAAGTTTTCTTCTTTCTGTGCATGTTTGTAATTTCTGTCAGTTGTTAACTTTGTCAGCTTGAAAAGGAGAGGTGTTATACTGCTGTAAGTTTTCTAAATAGGTGGTTTTTTATGACATAACTTTGACTCAGTAAAGCTGTTGCTCATGAGTTCGAACACCGCTCCACCTATGAAAGTTTTACTAGCCATCACACATAATAGGTATGGTTTATTGCCTACTGTACATATGTGCATGTGGTCTCTACGTGAATTTTGATTTCAGTTGCTTTACATTCTGTCGTGCAGTATGGCAACATGTTCGAGTATAATCTTAAACCCCATCTGAAGGAGTTAAACATACACATACACACACTTGAACTTTATTTGGAAACCCGGTTATCAGTGGTGGTAAAAGCTCATCTTAAGTTAAATGGATCATCGAGTCAGTTAGTTACCTCTGATGGATCACTGTATTGTGTTTTATTTTCAGAGATAAAATTGATTTTAATTCAATCAGTTAATTCAAATCATTAATCTTTATGGATTTATCGATTTTCAGGTTGTCATTCCTCATGGATTGATATCATTTGTGGAACCACTGAAGACCTGTTTTGCCTTAGTCTGTGACTGACTCTTCAGCTGTGCACACCCGTGACCTATGCAGATCTGGAACCCAGCAATTTAAGGTTTAACCGTGATAATATTACCATTGTGCCACTGGATGTTCTATAGGGTGAATTCAGTTGAACATGACAGCAAATCACGAACTGAACTATTGAATCCAGATGCAGTGGCAAAATGGTTGACCCGTTCGCCATGAAATCTGAAGGCCATAGGTTTTATCCTTGATGAATGTGTTAGCTATAGACTGCTGAGGAGTCGCACAATAGGAACAAACAGCTGTTCACCGTTCTCAGGTTTTCAGTGGTTCTCCTCATTCATTCCAGTCCGTGATAAATACCAAATCTAAGTCAGTTAGTGGAAATAGTATTATAAAAGGACATTCAAGTAGTCTATACTGAATGCCACCTATTAAACATAAACTATTTATGAGGCTATCCATTGGAAGGCTGCTAATTTGGTTCCAACCCGAAGAATATTTGCGTTTTACCTCAATAATATGTTGCGTTCTGTTGAAACTCTTCAATGGGAGTGAATTTGTTTATCTGCATTTTAAACACTTACCTGGTCTACGTCAAGGTCAACAAAAAATACGCCTCAAGTATGTTTTTGCATTCATGCTAACTGATACACTATGGAAAGCTAAGCGACGCCTTAAAAGTAAAGACAGGAGTAAGACAAGACTGCCGCCTACTATCACACATGATCTTCCTCACTGTGGTCGACTGGATCATGCTGCAAACAGTGAGGAGTGAGAAGATCGGCATACGCTGACTGGACCGATGAAGGGAGCCTCAAAGATTTGGGTTTCGCCGACGATTTATGTTTAATGTCTCAGAAACTCGAAGATCTACAGGCAAAAACTAACAGGTTGATAAAAGAAGCAGGGCAGCGAAAACGGGACTTCAAGTGAATGTAGAGAAGACGGAGATGATGAAGATAACCAGCCAACAACAGCATCAACAAGAAGCACCAATCAACATGAACGGGAGAAACCTAAAGGAAGTAGTCTCTTTCACCTACCTTCCTAGGCAGCATCGTTTCAACTACAGATGACACAGGCAGAGACGATGATGTCAAAGACAGCCAGGATCGGAAAAGCACGACAGGCTTTCAGTAGTCTGAAATCAGTGTGGAGATCTGCTACACTCAGCATACAGCGTGAACGACACCTGGATTTTCAACACCAATCCAGTCAAGTCAGTGTTGCTATGTGATGGTTGAGAAACTTGGTGTGTCATGAAAAGCACTTCCAACAAACTACACACATATTCATCAACAGTCTCCGCCTACGCTCACTCGATACTGAAGATCAGGTAAGATGGCCAGAAAGAATAAGCAACAAGGAACTCTGGCTGGCTGGCTGGCTGGCTGGCTGGCGACGAACCAACCAACAACCTATCACCCAATAAATATGCAGAAGAAGAGAGTGGAGATGGATTGGGCATCCACTGAGAAGGCCGATTGGGGACATCTCACGTCAGGCGAGGCCGTCGAGTGGAACCGAAATGAGAAAGGAGGAGTTGGGTGTCGGAGGCTAGGGTGACATGGAGGAGATCATGTGAAGAAGAAACGAAAGCTTGTGAGCAGTCGTGGAGGGAGGCTGAGCAGATTGCAGAGAAGAGAGTGGAATGTAGGTGTGCTACTGAAGCTATATATTCTACTATGAACCTGAGGGGAAAAAATGATATTTTTACATCACTAAGATCTTCCTGTTTACTAAAATAAGAACGATGATTTGTTTTTCAGGAAAACGTTTTTCTCGATTCTTCATTGTGTTAGTTATTATTTAATAATGGAAATCACTTTCATCATTATACTACAAGCAGAAACGATAGGATGGAGTAATAAGAACTGATAAAATCGATTTTCGTGGAAATTCTAAAAATCTTCAGTTGTTGAGCCGAGCTCAGAGAATACAATACAACCAAAACCATCCACCTGATCTACAAATATTCTCCACTATTTAAATTTAATATGTGAATGCTTTGACTTAGCTGTGATTTTATTCGTCAAAATGTCAACCAATCAGTTTGAAATTACTCCCACATACTCACCAACTAGCCAATCAGGGTTAGCCTCATGTAGAATGGTATGTTTAAAGGAGTTGTGCATAAGTGACTTTCAATGCCAACCTAACAACCTGCTGATATAGGCAATTTTATATTTTATTTTCTGAAAAAAATTATTTTCCTAGCCCAAATATCGAAATCTAATTGGTTTCTTCAATTGTTGCTATGGTGGTGGACTTTCAGTTCACCGTATGAGGTCATAGTAATCTGGTTGGCTAACTCGTCTGGCACTTTTTGCTTTGTACAATGATTTGTGTAATTTTTTTAAATGGTGATATTTCCGTTATGTTCTCAGAAGTTTTATTTGACTCATAAAAATACTCACTATGCAAAAGAAAATTGACTATTTTCTCAGGATGAAATCTTATGTGTGTGTGTGTGTGTGAACTTTATTAGCTTTCGTTCGATTAGACCCAATGGATAACTATTTTAGTGTGAGATAGTCTAGGGTATGGTTTGTTCTTCAATCAATGATGAAGCATCAACAGTGAATTAAGTATTTCTCTTAGTATTTTGCACGTACCACAGTTTATTTCTTATTCAAAAATGACATACTTATTGATACTCATAATTCTTCGTTGTTATTGTATAAATAGATATTCAGGTAATACGTAGGCATCCGTATAATAGCGCATATGCCAATAGACGTCGAACACTTCGATGCATTATAACAATTGAGAACTCTAAGTATAGGCCAATAATAATAATAATAATAACTAATACTCGTTGTACAAGAGGCGAATATTGTACTCCAGTGGGCTGGGGAGCAACATTTTGGCATTTGAAGTGATTCATATCGTGTTTCTAGTCTCTATGGCGACAACATCACCTACTGTGGAACAAGTATGTTTTGCTGATGAATCCCGAAGAGGACGAAATGCACCTTTTAGATTCCACAATGAAGGAGATGACATATGTCTAGAATAGTGCTTTTTTTTCAAATGTATGTACGTTCTTCAAATTAGCTTAACTTTGTATCAATTGCTCTGGTTATACAAAACAATCATAAGACTTAGAAAGTATTGTATATACATAATTATTAGGTTTCAAGGAATTACTGGATATGTCGCAGAAGAAGTGGCTATCTTAACTCGCTCTGGCGTTACTCTATAAAATAAAACACAGGCAGCACCAAGACATCCGCGCAGGAGCCCATATGCCATCAGAGATCGATCAATTCGGTTCAATCAGCGTTGAGATAATACAAGCAACAACATTAAAACTATACCCGTCGCACAAGAAAAGGCTATTGTGTCTCGGTGGTCTAGTGGATAACTCTCTGGCATTTCAATCGGTCGGCACCAGGCTCGAGTCTTGGTGGTATCAACTTCACTCACCGGTACATCCAGCTGATGAGTCCTAAAAAGGACGAAAGGCAACTGGGCTCCAGTGTGGATATCTTCCTACTACTCATATATTGATTGTGTTGTGGTGTACAAGGTGGATAGCAATAAAGTGAAGGACAAACGTTTCGTCCTGTTTGAAACTCGTCAGCTAGATTTACCTACTTCATCCCAGTGAATGATATTATTCTCACTGAGACTCGAACGCAGTACCTATCATTTCAAACCCCAAGGCTTTATCCACTAGGCCTCTTATGAAACGAGTATCAGTTGTTATTTATTAATGCTTTTAATCGCTCGCTGCTATACTGAGTCAAATTGGATTGAATTACTCGTTTAGTGTAACAATATACTGACGATGAGAATGGTAGTTCCACTAGGATCTTTTGTCAACAATGTCATTAATGACAAGACCTGACAATTGTTATTTGAATTGTAGAGAGAATGTACACTATTCAAAGGTACTAGAACGATAGGTGTTATAGCAGCTGTCTGCTTTTCAAAGGTTTCCCCACTAATTTGAAACTACATAACTCATGTGTCACTTATTGTTTACTTTTCCTTCCTTATTAGTCTTGTATATATTGGTGAGGAGTTTTGTGAATGTTCACCTAATGAATTACTAGAAGCTTTAAGAATTTCCATACAGAAGTATTTCAAAGATTTTCATCGGTAAGTAAAGTTTTTTTTTTTAACTGTGTATATTTCGTTTTGATTAAAAGAAGGAGATTCTATAGATTTATTTACATTGTTTTGTTTTGCTTATTCATATTGTTTGTCTTCAAGGTCACGCCCATGTTTGCTGCTCAAGGTCATTTGAATTTTATTGACCTTCGAAATTTTACTCAGTCATTCAAATGACTGTTGTATATGGGAATGATTGATTTGTTTGTAGCTTTCGCAATGAATTGACATCACATAGAGGAGGATTAGAAGCCAATGAGCTAGTGGTTTGGATCTGTTTTCGTAAAAATGTTGAGGATAAACTATTTTTTAAAGATTTTAAACTGGAATGAAAGGCTTGATGATTACTCCCTAAGCATTTTACTAGTCCTTCGTTGAATCATTTAACGGAATCATTACACAACCGTTTCATGGGTTTCTCAGACCTCTATAGATTCCTTTGTTATGTTTCCTCTCGTAAGGAGTAGGTTCTCTGCTTCTGACTAGCTAACGTTGTGTTTGTATGTATAATATTGATTTTCGTCGTTGTTTTCATCATTCCTATTACGTTTTACTATTAGTTTCTGCTTGTAAACTATTTTCTAGGTATAGTATTATTGTTTGCATTATATCGTTGTTGATTGGGCCAAATTGATCGGTCTCTAATGGTATATCGTGGCTCGGTGGTGTAGTGAATAACGTTCTGGCACTTGAATCGATCGGTGGGAACAACATCACTCACTGGGGAGAGGGCACATCCAGCTGACGAGTCTCAAATTAGACGAAATGGGCATCCATGGCTAGCCACTACCCATCATTAATATATATTTCTCCTAGACATTTGATACTGAACGATGATTGAAGATGAAACTAAAAACTTAGGCCGCGGCAGGATTCAAACCAGCGACCGTCAAGTTTCCTGCCCGGTGCCCTACCAACTGAGCTATTAGGTCTAAGTTCAATCACCAAGGGTTTTCACTGACTGCCGTTTGAATTCGTGATGCACTACTACCACTTGATCGTACTCACACTGATTGGTTAGTTCTGAACTTCTCATCCCAGTCTAAGTCTACTTGGATATTCCCATTTAGACATAGTTCATTGGAAGTGTATTTAGAAAAGCCAATCCACTCTTGTGTGTATGTGTGTTCCAGTTCATCTTATCCTATATCCAATAAAGCATCTCACACAGATCAACATAAACTTATGTGACAATAAATTCCATCGGGTTAAGATCGTAGGAAGGATCTTTTGAACGTTTTACCAAGTGAGTCACAGTTTCTTCAGCATAATATTTGCATTTTGGTTCTTAGGCATGCCGAGACCAATCAATATGTTTGATTCAATCTTACATGAGGTAAACTGTAGCCGAAATAGCTCACTGGTAACATTTCTGACTGCAGTGTTGCATGACACAGGTTCGAGTCCCATAAGGGACATCAACACCCTCAAGCTTGCAGATATGTCCCGTTGACGACTGCCAACAAGTACGAAACTTAGACCTAGGGCTTTCTGCTGATCGCCTCCAACAAAACAAGACGCTATGAGTATATTATAACTTGTTTCTGAAATGATTAGATTGGTCATTTATGACGAGTTTACATGATTCACAGACAGGAACCGCAAAAATCATTGAATGAGCTAACCGCCAAGGTAACTATAATACATAAGAATATATAAATAAATAAATGTTTTATTCTTACATTAAAAAAGTTTAACATGAGAGAAGGCAGTTTACAGACTTCATGACGTTGATGCACATCTCAAAATATCGACAAGACTTTACGAGTTCTGAATGGTGCAGACGGAATGTTAATAAACTCAGTTAAAAAACAGCCGAAGATCCTGCTAGTTATGAAACAAACAAGGAAATATTACTTTACAGCGTATACAGAGTGTTTAAGTTTAGATCATAATTAAATATTATACTTATATAAAGGGTTTAACATGAGGGATACCAGTTTACAAGCATCATCAAATTGATAGTCCTTAAAAGTTTACAAACTGGTATTTAGTATTGAATAATTTACATATAAAGTCATTAGTGTGCATAATCTTATTAAAATTTGCTGAAATTCATGAGATGGGCATGGATTTTCATTTGTTATCACACAGACAGGTTCTACTATCAATATCTAAAGGGTGCAGTGTTCAAAGTTTGCGTTATAACCAACCAACGTTGTTAATCCATCTGCATAGTTTGCTAATTAGTAATATAACAGCCTATTCCTTAGAATGATTTTCAGATTTTAGCTATGCTAACCATAAAGGACCCATTTATACAATTTGGAGTATCAATAAAGTATTCACAGTTATATAACCAAGGTGTTTGTCTATACCAATACATTTCCAGGTCACCATGTTACGTTTAAAGGTAATAGAAATCAATTCCATCAAGAAAATTTGTTGTATTGGATTGACTTAGACGTTGAAATGATCAATAGTCCAAATAGCAGTATTTACACATAGACTTCGGGTACCTTTTGTATTAGCGTAAGCACCATCATTCAAGAGGTGTATTTGCTGTATATTAACTTTAATGTGAAAAGATTACTTGATTCAGAGTACTAGAAGATATATAGTATGGAGCTACTGCAGGTAAGTCGCGTTCCAAGCCAATAGGTAAATTGGTTTCTAGTTTAATCATTTGTTCAGAATGTCTCTTCTACTAATACTGTTGCGAAAGTTTAATCAGTTCGTCGCAGATTAAAAAAACATGACCAGTAGATTAGGTAATCGTGAAGATGGTCCAGAATTCGTGAAACAGTGGGAGAAGTTCTATATTTATTGGCGTCAATGAGTAGGTAATAGTTTCACAAAGTAATTATATTATTATTAGTCGCTTGGGTTCCTAATGGAATATAGGGCTTCAGTAGCACGTCTCTAGTGAACTCTGTTCTCCGAAATCTTTTGAACCTGGCTCCAAGACAGCCCACAAGCTCTCATTTCCTCTTCGCACGATCTCCTCCATGTCACCATCTCGGACGTCCAACTCGTCGTTTTCCATAGGGATTCCACTCGAGTGCGTGGCCTGACGCGTGATGTCCCCAGTCGGCTTTCTCAGTGTATGCCCAATCCATCTCCACTTCCTTCTACATATTTGTTGGGTGATAGGTTCTTGGTTGGTTCGTTGCCAGAGTTCCTTGCTGCTTATTCTTTCTGGCAATCCATCTGATCTTTAGTAGCGAGCGTAAGCAGTTGTTGATGAATGTCTGTAGTTTATTGGAAATCCCTTTCGTAACGCGCCAAGTCTCTGAACCATACAAGAGCACTGACTTGACATTGGTGTTGAAAATCCGGATCTTGTTCCACATGCTGAGTGCAGAAGATCTCCACACTGGTTCAAAGTAATTATGTTCAGACTGAATTTAAGCATCATATGTCAACATGGAATATTTAAAACAAGTAAGGAATATATGAATGAAGCAGGATTGAACAAATTCATAAATTTCAGTACACTGAATAGATTTCAATTTAGACATTTAGAGAAAAGACTGATTGAGTCAGCGAAGAAATATATATATACCTTTTTAATTAGGCCTTCATCTTTGACTCTACACTAATATATATATAGGTTTCCAATTTAATCAAATTACCAATCACTTAATGATGTTTTAGAAATTAAAATGTATATCATCAATAGAGTAATTAAAATTGGTAATATGAAATAGTTCAAGTTGTTATTCATCGTAGGCTGACATCAGTTGGAGGAACAAAGGAAACCCGGGAGCACTGGACAGCTGTTTCGTCCGACTAGTATGGGACTCCTCAGCAGTGCGCACCCACGACCCCACCAGCAGGGATCGAACGGGCGACCTTCAGGTTCCGCGGCCAGCGCGTTACCATTGAGCTAGCCACTGGGTCAGAATCCAATGCTCCATATTTCCAACTTCTCTTAGCTCACGATTTCCGAAGTTTCCAACGAGAAGTCGTGACCGGTGGAGCCAAGCCTGATGGTCATGAGGACAGATACTCAACGATGACATTGGGTGGCGGTTGCGCTATAACGTGAACCAACAGAAGTTGGGAATATGGAGCATTGGATTCTGACCCAGTGGCTAGCTCAATGGTAACGCGCTGGCCGCGGAACCTGAAGGTCGCCCGTTCGATCCCTGCTGGTGTGGGGTCGTGGGTGCGCACTGCTGAGGAGTCCCATACTAGTCGGACGAAACAGCTGTCCAGTGCTCCCGGGTTTCCTTTGTTCCTCCAACTGATGTCAGTCTATGATGAATAACAACTTGAAATAATTCCAAATCTCCACAACTCCCTCAAAATTTAATATGAAATAGGTTATTCTTAGGTAAATGGAGTGATTTTTTGATGAGTGTTCAATCATTCATAATAAGCGATTACGTAATAATTACTATCAATGAAAACAAGAAGGAGAAGAGGTGTACAAAGTAATCTTAGAATTTACATCATATTGACGGTCATGGTAATGAAAGTGGTCGAACAAACTTCTTTTGAATGCAAAGGTTAGGTTTATTTGTCAAGGTGGATTACAATCGCCTGTGTTATGTGAAGTAAACCAGTGAGTACACCATCAGGTAAATTAATTGGAATCTGATGGATGATTTTGAAAGCTTTTCTAGTATCTACTTGATGTCCCATGTCAACTAGGTTTGCAGGTATGGAGCTGTTTATTGTTCTAATTTGTCCCTTGCTCAACCATGATGAATAGGGCTCAGAAATTCGATGATGGGCCTACCTGATTGTACTCCCAATGTAACTAGCTCCACAGGAAGTGATAGAATCAAGCAGTTTGTCTTTATTTCTTACACCTAGAATCATGCAGTTGTAGAAGATGGGACATAATTTAGCGGCTGGGAAGGTTTTATACAAGACTCTTTTTATACGTTATGTGATGATCTCACTGGTAATATCATTTTTAAATTTCATCTTTAAAATGATTATCATTTTGACTATCTGAGATATCTGTGGTTTGTCAGATTTGTATTATTGATATTGAATGGTGATGGCAAATGAAATGAAAGTTTAGGCCACGGTAA